AAAAAAGTCGGAATTCTGACTTTTTTTCCTGAGATTAAAGTCTGAATTCTGGAAAAGAAAAAAAAAAGATGTGCCCACTTTTTGTTCCAGTGACTCTAATCATCTTCTGTATGAAACAGTCCATGGTGCATATAATAATAAAAGCACTTTTCCTTTTAACCTGTGACAGTAGAGATGAGACTTTTCATTATGCTGCCATCAGGTTGAAACTGCTGTTTTAACTTGAAAACTACCACTAACTAAATAAAACAGAAATGAAAAGGATCCAGGAGTGTTAGAGTTTTTAGGAGTCTTAAACCACATGCCTTACCTATATCGGAATTGCCTAAAGAGTGAGCAGCTTTTCATTTCTCGATTGCAGTTACAGTACGCAACACAGTTGCTGTCTGCACTGTCCTGCAGTTAGAAACCATCAGTGTGAAGAGCGTCTCTAAACAAAACATAAAAGCTACTCTCCAGACTATCCAGCTACGTGGATAGTCTGTTGGCTTTGCAAGTAGCAGCTGCTATAATTGGTTCGATAGAGACGAGGAGCGACACTCCTGTGTGTCTAAAGATCAACCTTAACCTGACCATCGTTCACTGCGTCATTCTCGGCTAGAACATGAGGCCCACGAGTCTGTGAAACATATTAGTGAGCCGAGTAATTTTCACATATTCATTGACGCAGGAACTCCAAAGGTCTGCTGTTGATCTCAGTAAATGGATCAACAGCAGACGTCTGCCTGGAAATGTGGGTAAATGAGTGTGACGCACTCCAGAAGACACTCTGCAAGAAAGCAGATAAAATACGGCATCAAGACTGTTTTCTTAGAAATGTACTGCAGTGAAATATTTATTTATTCTTTCTTTAAACTGACAGCATTTGGTGTTGCTGTATTTTGACAAGATTTCATATTAGATATTGAAGTCGGCACAGCTGTCCAAATAGCATGAAGCGAACGGGGGATTTAATTTTGGCATCTTAAACCGTTTGTGTTGTTGTGTTTGATCGTAGAAGAATTTTATCCAAGAGTAAATTTTTATTATTTCTCCTGAATATGGAGGTTTTTGTTCCATGGTTTTCTGCTCTATTTAATATCAAGCAAGAATTCCTGAACCTTTTTTGTTAACCCTTTGTTTTGTTTGACAAGGGTAGAGGAGTTTTATCTTCAGTTAGACCAGTTACTTTTAAATTAATGAATAATAAAAGTATAAAGGCCACATGGGATTTCATTATATAGTTTGGTGAGTAGCCTCTCTACATCAAATGTAGCTTACTTGCGCATTTGTAGAGTTTGCAGGCCTGTGCAATGTCTCCTTTACTGAGCTTGGTCCTCTGCCCAATAGACGGCCTGACTCCATTGACATCATAACGGGGCAAGATTGTGTCTAAGAAGATGCCTCTGTTTCAAAAAAACCACAGCAAAGAATCCAGTGACAACAGCCTGAAGAGAAAAAAACATCTTCTAACTTCTAACTTTTACTGATGTGCAAGAAGATCTGAGTTTCAGAGGTTTTAAACTGAAGGATCGATGAAATCTACATGATTTTTCTGATGTACCTCCTGTTCAGGACATTGATTTATTGATTGTGATAATCTTTCACTGAGTTCAGAGCTCCCACCCTGCAGTTCCCATGGTGATGCACCCATGAATGACAAGCATGTGCAAACAGAGCGCTCTGAATGGGGCCTTTCGCCGGTGCCAGCCGGCTTAGTGGAGCCCGCTCCTGAATGCCAGAGTAAAAGGCCACTCCACCCCAAATTGTTTGACAAAGACTGAACTGCCGGGCCTTTTTTTAGCTTGGCATGCCTCCATGACCCAGACCTGCAATGTGGTTATGGGGGTAAAAAACCAAAACACCGAGAAACTGAAAGGGGCAACGACATGCATGGGAGAGAAACAAAAAAGGAGACTAGTGTGGAATCGCTTCTGTAACAATACAGGACAAATCCCCCAGAGGTTTCCTGTGAGGCATGCTAAGCAGAGCTGACTCAAGGGACAAACACCAGGTCAGGGTAATAGCCCTGTTAGATAATCAGAAACAAGCTTGGTAACGATGACACGTGGGGCTAGTCAGGCTAGTGTGTTCGCAGTTTGGAGGTAGGCAGAGAAAATCATGAATTTAAGAGATATTTAACTGCCGTAAGAAAGGTTTTTAATTGCCTGTTAATGTAAATATGGTAAAGCTAAAAGTGTAAATGTTCAGAAAAAAACACAAAAACAAAAGAAAAAAACCTTACATTTCTGTTGAGAATATACTAACATGAAGCAAAAAAAGATGCCAACCTGGAAAATGTATTCCTTGCATAATGCATGATGCTGCCAAAGTCGTATACCTCTCCCAGTGAGTCGACCTCCCCTGGTTCCATCTTCAGGAAGTTATACTCCTGCCCTTTTGATGGACAAACAGGCAAAGAACTAAATGCAGAGACAAACATCTGCAGCATCAGTATCCATTCCCACATATTTACTTCATCCTCAATGCACGCATGCAGTAAGAGTACCTTGTTGAATGTTGTCTCTGATGATGCTTACATGCTCATCACGGTCCGGACGTGTGTGTTCATGCCAGAAGCCAATCACGTGGCCGAGTTCATGCACAACGATGCCAAACTTATCACAGTTTTTTCCTATAGAGATGGCCTGAGGGCCGCCACCTCTCCTCCCCACATAGGAGCAACACCTGCCGGTCAGCGACACTATTCAGGTCCACATCCTGCTTTTATTCCCCCCCATGTTTTTAACAGGTTAACTATAAAGAGAGGTATATGCCCACTTTTAAAGAAAATATTCAGTCTGAGCTTTCCATCTTTTATATACAGTCTATGGTTTCTGAATAGAAAACAGTGGAAACAATAAATCTGGTCAAATAAATAAATAAATAAATGAATAAGAGCTCCAATAATTTTTGTTTTGGTTCTTTTTGGGTTTTTTTTCTAAGCCAATAAGCTGAGACAAACACTTCTGTTAAAAAACTGATGACATCATAAAAATGTTGACATGCTCCCAACTTACCCACAAGGTCTGTAAGTGAAAACAATGTAGCTTTCTTCAGTCGCTCTCTCTGTGAACGTTACACAAATGTGTTTCTCCCAGTGACGCATCGCCTGACGGAAAATGGCTCGCTGACTGCCTGAAAGGAAACTCTGAATTAGACGTTGACAGTTTCAGGATGTCCAAGCTGCACATGGCAACAAAGACTCCTTAAAGCAGTGGTTTTTAAATGTTTTTGTGCCCAATGCACACTACAGGGCAAGCCGAAGATTTCGAGGCCCAGCAAGTCTGCAGAAAATAACCTCTATGCCGTCTGGTATGTTGTCAGTTCTTTTTGGTTGAATTGTCAGGTGGATGCACTGTTAAGCATTACACCTAAAATTCATTTGCTTTTTGATATCCTGCAACCATCCTATCATGGTGAAATCAGATGTAAGACTTATTGTTGTCCACCAAAGCTCACCACTGAAATTTCCGCTGATCACGTAGGGGATGATACCATCAGGCCATACTCGCTCAGGTCTGGCGGTGGCTGCTCTCCTCTGTCGACGGAGGCTGTGTCTGTCAGCAGCCCTCTCACTCCTTCTGTTTTCACTGGAAGTGGAACTGTTAGCTGTAAAAGATAGATAGGACGTTCAGGGGAGTTTGTTTTGATTATGATCCCCTTATTTGCACATTCAGTTTGAATTCCTAACATATTAGTTGGGTTTTCTCTGTTTTGACACCTGAGTTTGTGTGGTTGCTCTGGACAGCGTGCTGTGCATCATCAGCTCCTTTGAATAAGCGGAGGTCGTCTTCATCCAGTGCGATGTCTCCCAAAAAGGCAGCTATGAGGATAAAAGTTCTCCGATAAATTGAAGATATATAACTTTGTGTTAAAGTGACAGGGAGGAGAATTTTAGAAAGCACCTCTTAAAGAGCAGTCGCACAACAACATGAGCATAAAGTCGCTGATATCAAAAGTCTCTGTGTTTTTGTCCTCATTGGATTACATGTTTTTTTAGAGCTGCTATTTCTTCTTGTGGTTTGCTCATGTTCACCTCTTCCTGCTGCCTTATTTTGTCTTTTATGTTTTGACTCTTCTTATTAGTTTGTCCTTCAGTGGGACTTTTATTGGATTGTCTCATCTACTTTAACAAGCTTATTAAAGTCATCTCTTTTTGCAACCTGCCCTTGGCTCACAAACGAAAACATATCTGAGGACTGTTTGTGTCCTTTTAAAGGAAGGAAGGAAGATGTGAACTGAATACATTACAGGACTGTGACCGTGCTGATGCACCATGTCTAACTAAACTAAGTAAACTGCACAAGTGGAAGAAAAACAAAGAGTGGAAGGCCAAAAACCTATCTACAACAGATGAACAGCAACTGAAAGTCATGTTCTTAAGGAATAGGAAAAAACGTCTAGAAAGGCCCTGACAGAGGATCTGAGAGACGCATCTGGCTCATCTACTGTTCACTGAAGCTTCATCAGAAATGGTCTCAGTGGAAGGACGGCTGTCAATAAGCCATTATTAGGAAAGAGAAACAGAAAAGAAAAACTGAGGTATACCAAATTACACAAGAACTAGACTGATGGAGTGATGAATCCAAATTGTTGATTTAAATCATTATCAAGATATATGGAGGAGGTCAGAAGGCGAGGGAACGGTGTGTCCACAGCTGTCTGTAAAACACAGTGGACGCTCTGTCATGGTTTGGAGTTGCACTTTAGTCAGTGGTGATGGAGATCTTGTCAAAATTTGTGGAATTATGAACATAGAAAAATACCACTAGATTCTGATCCGCTATGCAGTATCACCTGTAAAGTGTTTGATAAATTTTTATTAAGGAGACCAATCCACGAGTCTCATGGATTGGTCTCCCCAAAGCCTGGACCTCAACATTACTGATGCAGTGTGGGATCATATTTGATAGAACAGAACAAAGAGCAGCCAAAGAAGAGCTTTGAATGTCCTTCAAGAAGCCTCTAGAACTATTCCTGAAGACTACATAAAGACATTACAAAAAACCTGACTCAGACTCAGACTGTGTCAAAGAATAAAGATGGTCAGAGCAAATATTGAAATTCAAACTTATTAAAATTGCACTCATTTTTTTTTACCTTATATACTGACTCTCCATGTATTCTTGCTTCAATAAATCACTACACATATTTTCTATACCACAACATAAAGAAATGAGCATTGGCTCTTTCATCCAGGTCTGTATATAAAATGCTAACAGCAGATAAAATGGACTGAATTTGCACTTTGACACAGAAAGCGAGTAAACTCCACAAATTCACAGAGGTAAATGCCCCAGAAGTAGATTTGTAAAGGTCTCATCAACTTTTCTGCAATACCTTAAAAAAAAAAGAAAAAAGAAAAAAACAAGTTGCATCACTACAGGATTTCTTACAAAGTCAGCAGTGCAGCAAACACAGTAGAAGACAAAAGTGGTGAAACAGCTTCAAGATATGGCATAGCTCAGTGTCAGCTGCAGAGAACTGTTAAAGAAGAGTCTGACAGAAAACTGGGCTCTAATAGGCCGTGGGGAAGTGAACAAAGAAACCATAAACTTCTATGCTGAACTACAAGATTAGCTACACAACATCTTCCAGTGGCCAACAAAGGTGAGAGTGAGGAACACAATTAAGGGTTGTGGATAACTTCCAAAACTCAAGGATGGCATGAAACGCTCTTTGAAAAATAATATCCGTCATATTGGCCAAGCAGAGCTGCTCACTTGAGTCTTTCCCTCTAAATACCTCATTTAACAGTGTGTGTAACAACCTTTGAAAGTACAAATGAAAAGAGGTAGTGGGCCCTGTGTCAGCCTTTGAAGTAAACTCACTCAAGCAAAGGGTGACTGTAAATAACTGTCACCCCTGCAGTGTGCACCCCATGCTCTGGAGCTCGAGGGATTTCACGACAGTCCAGCTGAGGGTTGTGCTGGCACGGCCTCAGTGACCTCAAGTCTCCAGGCAACTCCCTCAGAGTGGAAGAGTGGTCTGTTTTGAAAGCTTCAGAAGTCACAAGTGAAAAAGGAACCCCAACCTGCTGGAGGCCCAGGATAACCGCAGTGAACTGTTTGTTTTATATATATA